CATCTTTAAAAATAAAAAAGAGAGCTGGGCTCGGTGGCTCAGCCTGTAATCCCGTGCCTTTGGGAGGCTGAGGTGAGTGGATTGCCTGAGCCCGCGGGTTTGAGACCTGCCTGGGCAACTTGGCGAGACCTCATCTCTACAATAAATCAAAAAATCAGCCGGGCGTGGTAACGCATGCCTGTAATTCCGGCTACTCGGAAGGCTGAGGTGGAAGGATCGCCGGAGCCCAGCAGGTCGAGGCTGCGGTGGCCGGGAGCGGCCACTGTACTCCAGTCTGGGTGACAGAGTGAGACTCCAACTCAAAAAATAAAAAATAAAAAAGAGGCCAGGTTTGGTGGCTCAGCCTGTAATCCCGCACTTTGGGAGGCCGAGGCGAGTGGATTGCCTGAGCCTGCGGGTTCAAGACCCACCCAGGCAACTTGGCAAGACCTCGTCTCTATAATAAATCAAAAATTAGCCAGGCGAGGTAGCTCGTGCCTGTAGTTCCAGCTACTTGGAAAGCTGAGGAGGAAGGATCGCTGGAGCCCAGCAGGTTGAGGCTGCGGTGGCCGGGAGCATGACACTGCACTCCAGCCTGGGTGACAAAGACTCCGACTCAAAAAAAAAAAAAGTTGTGAGCCAAAAAAAAGGTTGTGAGTCAGGCACGGTGGCTCAAGCCTGTCAAGCCTGTAATTCCAGCACTTTGGGAGGCCGAGGCGAGTGGATTGCCTGAGCCCACGGGTTCGAGACCTGCCCAAGCAACTTGGTGAGACCTCATCTCTATAATAAATCAAAAATTAGCCAGGCATGGTAGCGCGCACCTGTAGCTTCGGCTACTTGGAAGGCTGAGGCGGAAGGATCGCCAGAGCCCAGCGGCTCGAGGCTGCGGTGGCCAGGAGCGGCCACTGTACTCCAGTCTGGGCGACAGAATTTGAGACTCCAACTCAAAAATAAATTTTTTAAATAAATAATAAAAATCAAAAAGAGGCTGGACATGGTGACTTAGCCTGTAATCCCAGCATTTTGGGAGGTGGAGACAAGAGGATTGCGTGAGCCTGGGGGTTTGAGACCAACCTGGGCAACTTGGTGAGACCTAGTCTCTATAATAAATCAAAAATTAAGCCAGGCATGGTAGCACGCGACTGTAGATCCAGCTATTTGGAAGGTTGAAGTGGAAGGATCGCCTAAGTCTACCAGGTCGAGGCTGCGGTGGCCTTGAGCGTGCCACTGCACTCCAGCCTGGGTGATAGAGTGAGACTCCAACTCAAAAATAAATAAATAAATAAAAGAGGCCAGGCACAGTGACTCCTGCCTGTAATCCCAGCACTTTGGGAGGCAGAGGTGAGAGAATTACCTGAGCTCAGGGGTTCGAGACCAGCCTGGGCAACTTTGGCAAGACCTCGTCTCTACAGTAAGTCAAAATATTAGCCGGGTGTGGTGGTGCATGCCTGTAGTTCCAGCTACTTGGAAGGCTGAAATGGAAGGATTGTCTGAGCCCAGCAGGTTGAGGCTGTGGTGGCAGTGAGCGTGCCACCGCATTCTAGCCTGGGCGACAGAGCGAGATTTCAAGTCCAAAAAATAAATAAATAAAAATAAAAAAGAAAGAGCCTCAGTGCAGCCGGGTGGGACTGAGTGAGCTTGTGAGGAGGGGCTGGAGTGTGGGACAGTGGGAACCTGCAGCCCAGCCCAGCCTCAGGGAGGGGCTGTTCTCTGAATCTCTGAAGCTAAGGGCCAAAGTGGCCGCTAGGAAGCAGGCACCTGTCACCAAGAGTAGCTGGTAGGGCGTGTGTAAATAGTTACATGGCCAGATACAGTGGCTCACGACTGTAATGCCAGCACTTTGGGAGGCTGGAGTGGGAGGATCGCTTGAGCCCAGAAGTTGGAGACCAGCCTAGACAACGAAGCAAGACTTCATCTCTACAAAATTCTTTTTTCTAAATTAGCTGGGTGTGGTGGTACATGCCTGTAGTCCCAGCAACTCAGGAGGCTAAGGCAGGAGGATCACCTGAGCCCAGGAGGATGAGGCTGTAATGAGCTGTGCCTGTGCCACTACACTCCAGCCTGGGCAACAGAGTCAAAAAAAAAAAGTCTCTGAAAATAAGATTGTTGGCAGCTTTCTAGCATTATTTTATTTCATGGATCTACTATAACTTATTGAACCATTCCTGTGTGTTAGCTATTTTGGCTGTTTCCAATGTGTGCCCTTATTGACCAATGTGTATCTAATTTGTGTGACTAATTTGTGCCATGGATGTTTACGCCAGGTACTTGTGTATAAGTCTCTTCATCTGTTACCCTGTCCATCTTCCTGTCCATTTTGTCTTGGACATTTAACAGAGTGTGTAGATTCTTCCTGCAACCTTTCCATATTTTTCATATTGCTTTTTCAAATTTTAACTGAGTAAAGCATAATTTTGGAGCAGGTGGGATGCTATTCTATATTAAGCATCAGCTTTGTGATCAGTTCTTGTTTCTCTTACTAATTCTTTTTCTCTTGTTCAGAATTTTGGTTTATAAAATTTGCAGCACGTGTGCTTAATAAATGAGCATGAGCTGTTGAAGTGAAAATCTCTAAGGAGGCCGGGCTCAGTGGTTCAGTCTAATCCCAGCACTTTGGGAGGCCAAGGCAAGTGGATTGTCTGAGCCCATGGGTTCGAGACCAGCCCAAGCAACTTGGTGAGACCTCGTCTCTACAACAATTCAAAAACTAGCCAGGCGTGATAGTGCGCGCCTATAGTTCCGGCTACTTGCAAGGCTGAGGCGGAAGGATCGTCAGAGCCCCAGCAGGTCAACTCTGGGATGGCCGTGAGTGTGCCACGGGCCTCCAACATAGGCAACAGAGTGAGACTCCTACTCAAAAAAAAAGACAAGAAAATCTCTAAGGAAAATTCCTACAAGAATATCTCTTGAGTGCCTTTGGTTTTGACTAGTGAGTTTTTGACAGAGAAGTTTCATCTATTATGTTGGGGAAAAGAAAGGGATGATGGTAAATGACATTTGTAAATGACTAAATATCTATATGATATGATTAAAACCTGAATTGTTATCTGAGCACTTGATTCAGTAGTAGTATTAAGTATTAAGTAGTATTAAGAGAATTTGTTTTCAATAAAACCCTGTAAACTTTGTTCTGGGCCAGGCGCAGTGCCTCAAACCTGTCATCCCAACATTTTGGAAGGCTGAGGTGAGAGGACTGCCTGAGTTCAGGGGTTTGAAACCATCCTGGGCAACTTGGCGAGACCTTGTCTCTACAATAAATCAAAAAATTAGCCAGGGGTCATGGTGTATGCTTGTGGTTCCAGCTACTTGGGCGGCTGAGGCAGAAGGATCACCTGAGCCCAGCAGATTGAGGCTGCAGTGGCCACGAGCATGCCACTGTACTCCAATCTGGATGACAGAGTGAGACCCTGACTCAAAAAAAAAGCAAACCAAACACAGACACCCACATAACCTCCTTGGGCCTGAACCTCACTGGAGCTCTGGGGGGCACCTTCCTCCTTGCATGCCTGGCCCCCCTGCTTCTCTGGAACTTTCTAGTCAGGTTCTCCCCCACATATCCCTGCAACTGCTTTTGCAGAGATTAGCAATGCTCTCCTAATGAGTAAGCCCTTTTCCCCCGCTTTTTTAGAGACAAAGTCTCTCACTGTGTTGTCCAGGCAGCACAGTTCACTGCATCCTTGAACTAGGTTCGAGCAATCCTCCCAACTCAACCTGAATAGCTGGGACTGCAGGCGCACACCACCACGCCCAGCTAATCTTTACATTTTTTTTTTTTTTTTTAGAGAGACAGGGTCTTGCTATGTTGCCCAAGCTGGTCTCAAATTCCTGACCTCAAGCAGTCCTTCTACCTCGGCTTCTCAAAATTCTGGGATTATAGGTGTGAGCCCCCATACCCAGCCATAAGCTCACTTTTTCACTCTTTTTAACTTTCTCTGTTTTTCCCTCATCCTGTCTAATAAAGCCTGTTCCTAAAATGCTGGTTTTCCATCATTTACCCCCAAATGGCCTTCTCACAGATGGCTGGAGAGAGAGAGAAGTGTACACACACAGTCCTAGATGCAGTTGGCCCCCAGACACTTACCTCAGCCCAGATCCTTCTGCTCAGCTCGACTCCTACGAAGCAGCTGCCTCACAGCCACCTGTGCTTAGATGCGTCAACAGGACCAAGGTGGAGCCACATTTGCAGCCAGCCCCCCCGGTACAAACTGCCATGTGTGCCGCGCTTGGGAGACGGTGGTCCTGTTGGCTATGCTGCGCATGGTGGAATCTGGGCATCTTCCTGGACTCTTCCGTCTCTGACACCCACATCTTGGGGCATGGGTCCCTTGGGTTCTCTCTCTGGTCACCCTGTATCTGGACTTCAGTTTCTGCAGCTGCGTGCCTTGGACAGCAGCTATTCTCTGTCCCCTGCAGGCCTCCTCAGCAGCTCTTCCAAATTGCAGGACCAGTTGTCTTGCTTCTCTGCTTAAAATCTTTCAGTGGGTTATTCAGTCTTTTCTGCCATCTTCTTGATTGGGCTTTTCCTCTTCAGCTGTATAGCAACAACCCCACCTCCCACACACCAGACACAGCAGCTGCACCCCAGCAGTCTTGGGCCTGTGCCCAACCACGTGCCAAGGCTGAGCTGTAACTTGCCCTCATCACTGTGCCAGCAATGGGGGTGCACCCTGCTCCCCAGCACTTCAGGAGACTCGGTTCAGGGGCTCGGGTGTCCCCAGCACAGGGCACTCTCCCCGCCCTGCCGCATGCACACAGCTGAGGCCACGTTCTGGCTGCATGTGCTGTGCTAAGCTGCAGCCTTTCTCTCTCCTTTCCTCCCCGAACCGCATTCCTGAGGGTGGCCCTGGGACTCCTGTCATAGTGAGTTACTCGGGGTCTGCCGTCCAGTTTGGTCATAAGATGGAACATTCCTTTCCCCTAACGGGCTCTCTGAAATATCCAGATGTCACACCTGTGCAAATGTCTGTCATGGTTTTTCTCTCCAGAAGGTGAATCCTGACTTACCCATCTCTCCTGTCTAGCGGTCAGTGTCCAAGGTGTTCAGGAGGAGAGGCCCCCAGACGCTCAGCTCATGAGGCTGGACAACATGCTGCTGGCCGAGGGCGTGTCCAAGCTGGAGAATAGAGGACGAGGCGGAGCGGCGGCGGCCGCCACAGCAACACCAGGTGGCTGTCCAAATGACACTAGCATTGAGCACTCTGACTACAGGGCCAAGCTGTCCCAGATCCGACAGATTTACCACTCTGAGCTAGAGAAATATGAACAGGTGATCTTTCTGCATGGAAGAGTTTCTATCATGTGAATGCACATTTGTCAAAGCCAAACGTAGACCTCTGACCACCTTCCTCTTGTGGTGCAGAGCAGGGAGTACACAGGTGGTCACTGCAGAGGTGGCTGACTTTACTGAAAGCCCTTGCTGTGTGCTTCTCGGTCACCAGCCTGTGTGCAATCCACAAGGGGTGGCAGGTGTCTGGTCCGGCGCGGAGCCTTCCTGTGCCACTCTGCTGCTTAGTCACAGGCTGGCATGTCTGTGCCTACCCCCAGGCCTGCTGTGAGTTCACCACACATGTCACCAACCTTCTCCGGGAGCAAAGCAGGATGAGGCCCGTCTCCCCCAAGGAGATGGAGCGCATGGTCAGCGTCATTCATGGCAAGTTCAGCGCCATCCAGATGCAGCTGAAGCAGAGCACCTGCGAGGCCGTGATGACCCTGCGCTCACGGTTCCTTGATGCCAGGTCAGGGACTGCCCCCACCCAGGACCCTGAGCTTTGACTCTGAGGAAGATGAGCAAGTGGGTTAACAACTGGCGTGGGTTGAACTTAGTCCTGGGGCTCTGGCCATGATCGTGGCTGCAGGCCCATCACAGCCACCTGGGCAGGAGATCGGCGGTGCCGCACGCTGGCTTTAGAACGGCTAAGGGGCCTTAGTTGGGGATGGGAGGGTGTTGCTAGGACCCCAGCATATTAACTCAACCAAGGCTGTCTGTCTCTGCAGGCATAAGCGGCGGAACTTCAGCAAACAGGCAACCGAAGTGCTGAATGAGTATTTCTATTCCCACTTGAGCAACCCGTATCCCAGTGAAAAAGCCAAAGAAGAGCTGGCCAGGAAGGGCGGCATCACGGTCTCGCAGGTGAGGCCCTCTTCTGCTGCACCTCCCTGTACCTGGAAAGGATGGAAGGTTAAGTCCCATGAGGGAGACACCCAGGGAAATTAAGGAAATGTGTGGGACAGGAGTCAAGTGGCCAGGCTCTGAGTCAGCCTGGCAAGGCTCTGGTCCCGGCTCTATACTGTGAAGATGGGACTCAGGCAGGTGGTATCCTCCCTCATCCGTGAAACAGCAGTTCAGGTGCACCCACTGAGAGACCTGGGGACTCCTAGGGAGATGATACAGGTAGATTGTGAGCTCCTTAAAGTGCTAGAGGTGGAGTGTGAGCTCCTGTAGGTGCTACAAGTGTGAGCTCCCTGAGTTCATGATAGAGTGTGAGCTCCCTGAGGTGATACAGGTAGCCTGTGAGGTCCCTGAGGTGATACAGGTGGAGTGTGAGTGAGTGTGCGCTCCCTGAGGTGATACAGGTGGAGTGTGAGCTCCCTGAGGTGATACAGCTGGGGTGTGAGCTCCCTGAGGTGATACAAGTGGACTATGAGCTCTCTGCGGTAATACAAGTGGAGTGTGAGCTCCCTGAGGTCATGGTAGAGTGTGAACTCCCTGAGGTGATGCTGTAGAGTGTGAGCTCCTGAAGGTGATACAGGTGGACTGGGAGCTCCATGAGGTTATGGTGGAGTGTGAGCTCCCTGAGGTGATACAGGTGGAGTGTGAGCTCCCTGAGGTCTTGGTGGGGTATGAGCTCCAGGAGGTGATGCTGTAGAGTGTGAGGTTCCTGACCCTGTACCCTGGTGTCAGACTCTGGTATCCTTTGTGGAACTGGGGGCAAAGGAGGGAGGTGTTGAGGCCAAGAAAATCTCAGGTTTTAAAACGGAAATTCGCTGGGTACAGTGTCACATACTGTAATCCCAGCACTTCTGTAGGCTGAAGTGGGAGGATCACTTGAACCCAGGAGTTGAAGACCAACCTAGGCAACACAGCAAGCCCTCATCTCTATAAGTAATTTTTAAAATTAACCTGGTGTGGTGACTTGTGCCTGTAGTCCCAGCTATTCAGGAAGCTAAGGCAGAAAGATCGAGGCTGCAAAGAGCTGTGATTGTGCCATTGCCCTCCAGTCAACGGCCACAGAGTGAGACCTTGACTCAAAAAATAATAAGGACTGTAACTCCAGAGAAACCTAAACAGCAAGGCCGGTCCAGCCCTACCCACAGGGCAGCGTAAGTTTGCAGAGCTGCGCCTGGAAGCGCCACTTCACTTGCGCAGGCATAGCCCCCTGCCTCTGTGGCAGCAGTGACGTGCGCTGACAGGCGACATGGCTCCCTGAATGTCATCGCAGCCCTCCGAGGTGGCCCGTTCCCCCGACTTTGCTCTTGAAGGGGCTGAGTTTCTAGCCCTTCGCTCCGCCCAGGCTGTCCAACTGGATCTCTGTGAGAGAACTTAGGAACTTCTCGGGGTCACACAGGCCGCAAACATCACGGAGGTCCCAGTCCCGTCTGACTGCCCTCACCAGGGACCACTGTGGCCGCCTCAGAAACCAGCCTAGAGCCGGAGCAAAGGGCCACACCTCTGGGTCTTTAAGGCCCAGGACCGAGAGTGAGGCGTGAGGCATGGCTGCTGCTCGGCCCACACGCAGACAGCCAGGCTTGTGTCAGGGCCGCCCCCCTGGGCCAGCGCCCCCAGAGAGCAAGGGGGGTTGGGTCTGAGGCTTCATCTGGAGAGAGGGCTGGCCTCAGACAAGGGCTCAGGAAGCACCAGCCACATTGCAAGGACTGTCCTGCGGTGTGACTGGCCCTGAGAACCCCCATCACCGGCAGCAGAATTCTGTGCTAGGAACTCCTTCCCACTTTGGTGCATCCGCCAGGTTTCAGGGCATCCTGAAATGGCTGTTAGTTGAAGGAGGGTACTTGAATTGGGGGCACAGATGCACAGCTGTGATGTTCACCGGAGGAGAGGCAAGGAGGTGGGAGCCCACCATTAAGGCAAGTGTGTTGTGGTGAGGCCCACGCCGTCCTCAGAATGGAATCAGCTACAACTCCAGGCTGAGGAGGCTCAAGGGGCAGGAGAGCCCAGCCAAGACAGGAGCACCGAGGGACCAGACAGCTGCAACAGTGAGGCCGGAGGCACTGACAGGGAGAGGCCAGCATGAGCTACTGTGGGTGGGGAAGACCCCGAGAGCCACACCTGCCACGAAGTAGGGGCTGCTCCCCACGGAGATGACAGAGGCTGACCAGGGACCTGCCTCCAGCCTCGAGGCCATCATCCCTGCCAACCTCCTCGACCCCTCCACACAGAAATGTGCCCTTGATCCCTGTCAAATGCCACCTGAATTCGACATGGAAAGGTGTTGGATGCCATTCTCTGCAGACCTAGTTCTGCAAAGAAGTTCTGAAACATTCCTCATAGATAAGTGAAAGCCAAGTGCTTCCCCACGTGGCTCAAGAGCAGACTGCTCACACCAAGGGCAGTCAGGAACGGCGTGCTATTTTAGGAATGGGGGCACACACAGGAATCTTTCTTTGTATGGTTAACATTGCAAGGATAGTTTAGGGACATTAAAGGTTGCCAGGCATGGTGGCTCATGCCTGACCTCCCTGTACTTTGGAAGATGGAGGTAAGAGGATTGCCTAAGCCGACAGGTTCGAGACCAGCCTGAGCAACTTGGCAAGACCTCATCCCTACAATAAATCAAAAAATTAGCCGGGCATGTGGCGCTTGCCTGTCGTTCCAGCTACTTGGAAGGTTGAGGCAGAAGGATCGCCTGAGCCCAGCAGGTTGAGGCTGCAGTGGCCATGGGCATGCCACTGCGCTTCAGCCTGGGTGATGGAGTGAGATTCCAACTCAAAAAAAAAGTTAGGGTCACCCATGATCCTACCCCCATCACCCAACTGTTTCATTTGTGTTCATTACATATTCCACTTACTTTGGGACACCGATGTGGGCCCTGAGTGGTGTTCAAGGACATCTCCACATTGTGAGGGAGGTGCTAGCCCAGGAGTGCTCACCCGGGATGATTCTGGAACATTTTTGGGTGGGTGTGTCCCTGGCATCCAGTGGGTGGAGCCAGGGACGCTGCTTAGCACCCCATGGTGCCCAGGATGGCCCCACACAGAGAACAGCCCAGACCCAGAGCTTAGCAGTGCCACCGAGGTGACTAGTTCCGCCCTGGGAGCGCAGTCTTGAAGTCAGTCCTGGTGCTGAATCCCCTCCTGGCTGTGGAGCCCCATCGCCACCTGCATACCTCAGGGGTGCAGCAGCAACTGCTTCCCAGGCCCTTACGAGAGGAGATAAAGTCGGTACGTTTGGGGCTCAATCACATCCTCTTCTCAGTCTGCACTCCCCGAAGTATGCTTGCTGGGTGTGAGGGGACACCTGTCTCCCTGGCCCTTGCTTTTCCCGAGGAGGATTCTAGAACGTAACCTGCCACCCGCTGTTGCACCTGTGCAGTTTCCCTGAGCAGATCACAGACGTTCTTGTTCTCCTTCCAGCTCCTTCTCTGGTCCAGGTTCCAGCCACGCCTGGTTCTTAGCAGCAGAGTTTGTCTCCTCCAAGATAGTGCGGCTCCAGGGACATTTCCCTGGGCCCCTGGCTCAGCAGGCACCACCTCCTTGGCCCTGACCTCCTACCGACCCCCATGCCGAGGGTGTTTGTCCAGTCTGTTCCTCCTGGGTAGTGGGAGCTCCTGGCACCCCAGGGAGACCACAGTCTGTTCACACCATGTCGCGTGCTAGGTCAGCTCCTCCGGTGACTTCTGTGTATGCGTTTTCAGGTCTCTAACTGGTTTGCCAACAAGAGAATCCGGTACAAAAAGAACATGGGGAGGTTTCAGGAAGAGGCTACCGTTTACACGGGTAACATGGCCACGGATACCACTGATGTCAGAGTCTCGGGGAGCCACACCCACTGCCCGTCGATGCTGAGCTCCGGTGAGTGAGGCTGCCCGGCCCAGGGACTGTCGTCTGTTCCCTTGTGGCCAGGACCCCTGAGATGCACGTGGGAAGATTGCGCCAAGACCCTTCCCCACCCTCCCCCAGCTGTCATGGCCGGCACCTCTTTCCTCTGTTGCACTTGTGCAGTTTCTGTCCACCTGGGCCATGATCCTGACCAACCTTCACCTAAAGGAGGCACCTGTGCTGCAGGGACAGGAACGCTGAGACAAACAAGAAACGTCGCAGGTGGTGTGGCTGGAACAGCCGCTCCCCTCCACCAGCAGGTCCTCACCACACAGGCTGAGGAGGGCAGGGCCCAACACCAGGAGCAGAGTCCATGTTCACGGCCTCCTGCTGGCCAGGGGCTGGACGGATCCCTCCTGCAGAGGCGCCACGACACTGCTGACTCCGGCTCCTGCCATGGCCTCTTCCAGGTTCCCCTGGGCCCTTCCTGCTGACCAGCGCCAGGGACACCTTCCTCACTGTGCAGACACTGGCCTCTCTCCAGGCCCCTCCTGGGGGAACCAAGATGCGGTCCCAGGTGAGTTGGGGATGGTCCTGCCTTGGAACAACCATCCTGTCTGCCGGCCCTCAGCCTCTGGGAGGTCGCAAGGGTCCCGTGTGGTCTGTGTTTCCATGACAGGTTGGCCGAGCCATCCCTGAGCTCTGCCGTGACTCAGGGCAGCAGCCAGGAATGGTCAGTGAGCGCTAGGGCCCAGGAGGAGGGCTCTGGTCGTGGAGGGGCAAGGGCCCGGGAAGTGTGGGGAAAAGTGGTGTCTGTCCTCCAGAGGGAGAGCTGGGCAGTGAGCAGAGGAGGCCTGGGGAAGCAGCCACCTCACCTCGGAACTCCAGCCCTGCCAGGCTCGGTCCCACTGCCGTGTCAGGAGTCCACTGGGAAGGGGGGTCCTGCGTCAGTACCTCCTCCCAATGCTCTGGGAACAGAGAGCCAGGGCTCTCAGGCGGCTGGCGCCCTCATCCCCTCCTGGGCACCGGGGCCTGCAGGTCTCCAGGGCCCAGCCCAGCTGCAGCAGAGCTGCGAGTGGGGCTGCAGGGATTGTCTTGAAGACACTGCATGACTTGAAGACGGGTGTGCCACAGCCACCGCGGGCATCGGACTGGGGCCCCGCAGAGCCAGGCGGCCCCTCCTGACTTAGACCCCCGCCCTGGGCTCCTCGGAGAGCAATGCCTTCTGCTGCCGTCACCAGGGTCTGGCCTGGACCCGCGCTGTCCCTGCAGTGGCCACGGCTGTCACATTACTATGCCAGCCCCCCAGCCAGGGCACAGGCGACAGGAACTCTTCTCTTCCCTCCCCCCGGGGTCTGTCTAAACGCCAGACGTATGCGTCTGTCCCAGGGCAGAGTGCCCCCAAGGTGTGTGGACCTGGACCAGCAGCTCTCAGACTAATGGGTGAAGAAGCAGCCCCAGCCGCTTCCCTGGCATGTGTGGCACCTGCCATGGCGGAGGTGCAACCCATGGATAAGCATCCTAGAGTCAGTGGCCCCATGCTGCCCCTGCACCACCGATGGAGCTGCCCACCCCTCACGGTGAGGGATGTCGCCTGCCCGTCAGCTGTGGCCCTGCCCTCCTGGCTGCCCAGGGCAGCATCAGCCAGGTTTCAGAGTTTCCTCTCACAGAGTCTCGCCATGACGTTCTGGTGACTGTCATCAGCTGCAGTGTGACCTTGTCTCCTCCCCCTCTGTGTGTAGAGACCCTAGCTACCCCTGATGCCACATCAGCTCTTTGACAAAGCCCCTGGGGGGGGCCAACAGAGGCCAGTTTTCCTGCTGGGAGGCTTGCCTATGCCACAGGTCCGGTGGCAAGGCCAGCTGTGACCCAGGGCTGACCCCTGTATCCCTCCCTCCGCCCCTGGCTCTCTCAGGTGGTCTCCTCACATATTCCGAGCCTTCCCGGGGAACCTGAGGCTTTGCCTTGGGGACCTGGGCACTGGGTCTCATCAGTCTCACAGCCGCCTCCTCCAATACTCGGTGTCTGCCTCTCCAGGGTGTCTGGCAGGGGGCCACCCCTCTGCTGCCGAGCGCTTCACCTGCTGGAGACCCCGGCAGCGGCAGCGCCAACGCCTCTGGTTAAGTTTTGGGGACAAGCAGAAGGGAACGCGCGGGACAGCGAGGGACAGCGCCCCAGCCCTGATCCCCAGGCCACAGCTGCTCGTCTGTGGGATTCAAGACGGCCTGAGATGCCGCACACTCTCCCATCTTGGTTTGGTTTTTTGATAGTCGTTTATGGCAAGATGATGAATTGTCTCCTGTAAGACCTGGCACGGCTGTTCCCATTAAACGTTCTGGCTTTCTTTCCCCTTTATTTTAAAGATGTGGGGTACAGTTCAGGGGCAGGTATACAAATGTTCATTATGCAGGTACCTTTGTTGATGAGGTGAGCCCCTCCCTCCCGTTGTGACTTATTTTAATCACAATGTTTGTTCACCACCAGGTTTGTTTCCGGTAGGAGTTGGCCACAGGCACCGGTCCCAGCCCTGAGGCCATGCATCGTGCCAGCCGCTCCTGTGCTGACTCCCCACACTGGTTCTTTTCTGACTTAAACCTGCCCTGAGTTCAGAACCCAGAGCCTTCTGGGAATTGGTTTTCTTTTTTCTTTATTTGCTGTTTTGTTGTTGATTTGGGCTTTCGGTGTGTTCAGCACCGAGTGTCACTTTTCTGGATTCCTACACCAGGCCTTCCTCCGCCTGAACTCAGATGGGCCCCTCCCCTCACCTGAAGACGAAGAAAGCAGGGCAGAGACGGGCTGTCATGTGACACAGAACCCCCGACCCCTCATCAGTCAGTGTCATAGCAGCCCTGACCCCACGCCATCAGCACCACCACCGTGACCCGTGCCCAAGCTGACACAGCCCGGGAAGCCTCCCACACACCTCCATACCTGCTCACGTGGGTCCCAGCAGACCAGATGTGCCACAGTCCCCCAATGCCTGCCTCGAGGTCCCCACCCCTCGGGGTCCCTGAGTCCTGCCTCTGTCCCTGCGCACCAGCTCCCAGGCGCCCCCCTGGTCTGGGCTGCAGACAGGCTGCCCAGACAGCCAGGAGGCTCAGCCACTGCCACAAGCTCAGCCTCTCCCCTGCCCGTTCCTCATGGCCGAGAGCAATGGCTGCCGGGGACGGGGGTCTCGTCCTTGCCTCTGGGCCTCACCAGACCCCTTTCCAGCCCAAGCCCCGGCCACCTCCAGACTCCTCTCCCCCAGGGCGCTCCATAGTCGGCCAGGTGACCCGCCAGGCCTGAGCCTCTGGGCACGGTGGGGGGGTCACTTTGCCTGCTGTATCACCACACTGTTCCCTGCTCGCTACCATCACTGGTTTCTGAGAGCCAAGGAGGAGTTTCAGCTGTTGGCAGCACAAAAGGACACGCAAGGAAAGCCCCTGGCTGCCCCGTCCCCAACCCATCCCCACAGCCAAGTCCTGCTTCGAACGTCTCTCGCAGATGGGGGCCCGGCGTGTGGCTCCACTGCTCCCACGCCACGTGCACGCGCTCTTCCCCACACGATGCACCCTGGAGGCCACTCCTTGTCGTTTCTGGAGTGGCCGCAGCCTCTGTGTCTCTCGTGTGGCCTCAGGGGTGGGACATCCAGGGGGTGCTCATCTTTGCTGCTCTCTGAAGCTTGGCCATGTCTCAGGGTCAATGGTGTTGCGAGTTCTCTTCCCTCACCACCTCCCCGCCATCAGGGCAGGCCGAGGAGAGCTGTCAGAGACCCCAGGGCAGCTGCCACGAAGCCCTCCCCAGGGAGCTTCCCTGCCCATGGCTCTCGACCCTGTCCCGGCCAGCGTGAGCAGTTGGGTGCTGGGCAGCTCCAAAAACCAGGGCCCTGGGCTCTGCACAGTCTGGGGTATTGTGGGGCCCTGGGGCCCTCTGCCCACCCCAGGCCGTAGCTGGGTCTGCCCATGGTCTCGCCATGGGCACCCCTCCCCATAATGGTGCCCCTGGGTCTAGGTCATTTGCAGCCAGAAAATCTAAGTGACTCCCTCTCTGCCTTAAGTCCCTGTTGTCACGTCCTGCTTTGTGTCTCCCTGTGGTGCAAGAGTCTTAGACAGATGACGTGTCCTTGCTCCTGGGTGTTACATTCCAGAGAGAAAAGATCATAAACAGTAAAAGTCTGGGGGTGGCAGTGTTCAGAGCCCACCCCTGGGAGAAAGTGCCTTTTTAAAAAAATGATAGTAAAATATATATAACAAAGTTTGCCGATTTTACGTGCACAATTCAATGGCATTAATTTCATTTACACTGCTGTGCAGCCACTACTTCTGTCTACTTCCAGAACATTCTCATCCCCTAAAAGAAGCCCCTGCCCCCTGCCATCAGCAGTCACTCCCCATACCCTCCCCCAGCCCCTGACAACCACGAATCTGTCTCCTGTCTCTGGATTTGCCTGTTCTGGATGTTTCTATCAATGGAGTCACACATGATGTGGTCTTATGTGTCTGGCTTCTCTCAGTGTCGTGAGTTCAGGGTTCATCCACGCTGTAGGCTGTGTCAGTGCCTCCTTTTCATGGCTGTGTAATACAAGGAGGGACCTTGTATTACACAGGTGTGTTGGCCAGGCTCAGTGGCTCAGCCTGTCATCCCAGCACTTTGGGAGGCTGAGGCGAGTGGACTGCCTGAGCCCGCGGGTTTGAGACCTGCCCAGGCAACTTGGCAAGACTTCGTCTCTACAATAAATCAAAAGTTAGCCGGGCACAGTAGTGCACACCTGTAGTTCCAGCTACTTGGAAAGCTGAGGTGGAAGGATCGCCGAAGTCCTGCAGGTCGAGGCTGCGGTGGCCAGGAGCATGCCACTGCACCCCAATCTGGGCAACAGAGTGAAACGCCACCTCAAAAAAAAAATCGTGTGTTTATTCTGACCTGTTGAAACTTCAGTCACCTTCAGAGTACCCTCCACTTGATTCAGTACATCTATCAAGACGCTTTTTCCACTACTCAAGACAGTTTTTGGAGTCACCAAATTTGATGCCTTTTAGTGTTTCTGCTGTTTTTTGTTTCACCTCTTCCTCAGCGGCAGAACGTTTCCCTTTGAGGACTTTTTTCATTAGGGGAAACAAAAGTCACTCAGGGCAAGATTGGGTGAAGAGGGAGGGTGGGGCACAGGGGTCAAGCCATTTTTTATTTCACCTGGTCAAAAACCGCTGAACATGTGTGGGCGGGCGTTCTTGTAAATCACCATCATGAAATGGGCAAACGTGTTGAAAGGCTCTCCAGAAAAAATTCACCGAAGCCAATGCAGCCTCTCACAACGCTAGCTGGTACCCAGGTGCCGATGGGTTCCCAGAACACTTAACTAGCGGGGGAAGCCTGTACGACAAGGGGCCCACCTCCCAAAGATAATTCCAGTTTTTGGGGGGTTCCCCCTCATAGATATTTGGAGAAAGTTTTGCCATCTCTTTTTTCTTTCTTTTTCTTTTTCTTTTTTGAGTCCAGGTCTCACTCTGTTGCCCAGGCTGGAGTGCAGAGACACAATCACAGCTCACTGCAGCTTCCACCTTCTGGGCCCAAGGAATCCTCCTGCCTCAGCCACCCGAATAGCTGGGACTACAGGCACACGCCACCACACCTGACTAATTTTTTTAGTTTTTACTTTTCTAATGATTTTTTACTCCTCTGGATAACTTTTAAACAAACATTTTTTATTTTATTTTACTTTTTGTAGAGACCAAGTCTTCTCTGTTACCCAGGCTGTAGCGCAGTGAGGTGGTCAGGACTCACTACAGCCTCCGACTCCTAGGCTCCGGCAATCCCGCTGCATTAGCCGCTCAAGCAGCTGGGACGACAGATGCCATCATACCTGGCTAATTTTCTGTAACTTTTTTGTAGAGACAAGGTATCACTATGTTCCCCAGGCTGGTCTCAAACTCCTGGCTTCAAGCAGTCCTCGTGCCTCAGCCTCCCCAGGTGCTGGGATTACAGGTGTGAGCCACTGCACCCGGCATCCCCGCCCTATTTTTGAAGTGTCTACAAACCGAAATGCCCTCTCTGCATTGGCGTGCCACCGAGCAGAGCCATCTCAGCAGAGCGCCCTTCTGCCCATCAGCGAGCCCTGCGCCCCCTTTCAACTCTGTCACCAGCTCCCAGACACATCACCACCCACCACCTGGGCCCCAGGATGCCCCTCCCCGCAGCCTGTCCTTGACACAGGATTGGAGTGGCTGTGAAGACTTGAATGGTGGCACTGCCCAATGCTCCCCACGTGTGGGCACACCCAAGACGGAGGCAGAGCCCTCCCACGGGCCTCACCTCAGAAGGCGCCTTCCCCAGTGAAGAAGACACTAGTCACAGCCCCGGCCTCTGTGGGGGGGGGGCCTGGGGGTTGGCAGGGAGACAGTCTCCCCCGTCTCCGTAAGGATGCCTCCTGATGTGTGGGGGGGTCACGTCCAGTTAGACACATCACAAGCTGAAAATACCCTAAGTGGAAGCGTCACTGCTCAGGGACAATCTGTGTCCCCTCGGACAGTTTGCATTTTAGACATCCCCAAGAGGCTGGCGTGGGGAAGGGAGTGGGAGCCCACCCCCTCCAGCCAGTCCTGCTCGTGACACCCCCCCCAGATCTGGGGCCTGTATCACCCTGTGATCGGGGTGTCACCTGGGAGGTGCATACTTGGGGGAGATGGGGGTGGGGAGGGGATGAGAGGGGCAGGGCAGTATCTGGCCACCAGGGGTCACCCCGGTCCACAGATTCTGCAGAGAGGAGAGCTCCGGGCGTAAGGCCCCACTCGTGCCGCTCTGGGAATCCACAGGGTTCAGAGCAGACAGCGGGAGCTCTGTCTTTCCCATTATTAATGTCCAGCGTGTCCCTGATGGTGCGTCCAGCCTCCCCCCGGGCCCAGGTGCCTCCCTCATGTGACATTTGCATCCATGTATCCTGTTGGCATATATGTTGCACGACGTGTTTTATTTGAAGTGTGTGGAAGTTGCATGTCATTTGCATCACACCTCTTCGTGTGCGTTGCTTCTGTGAGCCACTGTGGAGGTGACAGGGGCTGGGCATCTGGCTGGGCCTGGGCTGCCTCTGCATGGCGGGGACTGTGCGTCCCCCAGCCAGGCTCCGTGAAACCCTCGAGTCACTGAGGCAGTGGCCACTGCCACCTGGACAGGGTTCCAGGAGGCCAGACACAGGACGACGCAGAGTCTTGAGTCAAGGGGGATGCCTGAGGGCCTCAGTGGGCTCCCTCGAGGGTCTCGGTGGGCTCCAAATTCTCACCACTCCAGGTGAGGCCGATGCTCCGGCCTGGCTTCTGGGCAGGGAGACTGATCTCCTCCATCCACGCCCAGCCTGATCCCTCCCGGAAAGGGA